ATTCTTTTGCTTTTTTATTTGTTAACATTTATCCCTTTCTGTCCATATCCATTTACTTATATTTTTACTTCCACACCAATTTTTCTGTTTTCATTATTGAATCATTCGAAACGTATTCTAATAAAAATGATCTTATATTTTAACACAGAATATCTCAACAAGCAAGGTCATCGTATAAACATTACGCGAGACACTGACAATCAAAAGGTAACGGTCACCATCAATGGATTCAAATACCGCAAGGAAAAGTGCACGGGCAAATATATTTATTGGCGTTGTAGTAGTAATAGGAAATACAAGTACGTAAATTCATATGATGGTTTTTCTTTGCAATGTCAAAACTAATGGAATCTTTTATTCTTTCAGCTGTAAGGCTCGAGCCCGTTCAATAGCTGGTCCCAACGAAATGAAACTATTGAAAACAACAACCACACCAGAACACACCCACACCGCCGAAGAGGCCAACCAGAACAGGAACCAATCGAATTCGGGCAAGAATACGGGCAAGAATACGGGCAAGAATACGGGCAAGAATTCGGGAAAAAAGAAGGCGAATAACAATGACGATGAAAATGTTCTTTATCTATAGAAAAAATGACAAAATGCTAGACACTAAACACTGACCTCCGTTTTGCATTAATTTCAACAAGTATATGATTGTGACTTCGTACTTGTTACTGCTAAAGAAGTAGAAAAAAAGCAACGTTGGATTTGCATAACATTTTTTGTTATACTTGACACAACAGCAGCGAAAGTAGTATTGAAACGAAATATGCGGACCAAAATATTGAAGCAAATTTGAAAAAAAAAATATTGAACAAAGAATGAAATGAAAACTGAATGAAAATGTGAATCTAAAATTAAGCGAAAAAATTTGAACATATGAAAAGTTCAACCGAATTAAAAGAAAATCGAATACAGCACAAGAGGATGAGCCACATGTACTGATGATGGCAGCTGCATTGAATAAAGCATGCTAGGGATGACAGGGTTTAAAAATACCAAAACACAATATTATATAGAAAAAAGTCAAGTGCTATACAGCAACCACATCTTCCATGATTCCGAATAGGTCACAATTTTACTGTTATGCATTAAACTCTTTAAATTCCATTAAACCGAATGAATCGGTTATTACACGTGTGTGCCATGAATATGATGATTGCACCAGTATGTTATCAATAAATATTATCACGTATAAAATTTCGACAGTTTTTTTGTAATATGCTGAATCAAAATTGCTGACCACCAGCAAATTTCAGACAAAAGAATGCGTTTGGATATACAATTTTAATGAAATCGCTGTATTTTTCGTTCTAGGATTCTGGAACAATCAAGGGCATTACATTCAAATAGGTAATGAAGGCCACCGCCAAAAGGTTTACATCAATGGCTATGCATTCAGCAAACGTTCATCTGACCCAAAAGGTGTTTATTGGATTTGCAACGTACGTACGTTCGTTCGTTTTCTATGTTTCGTCTTTTTTGTTTTCTTATTCAATCACATTTTGTATCACAATTGGTGACTTTTCAGAGCAATTCAAAAGTGTTTTCTATTTCGTTTTTATCTTTATTGAATCGTTACAGGTTCGAAAACAAACTGGGTAAGTTAAGTTATTCATGTACATGGATAACAAAGCACGTGCTTTGTTGGAAATTGTTACAAAATATTCAAATTTTTTGCTTTGTGTAAACAGGTGCAAGGCAACGGCAAGATCAAAGATCAATGCGAGCAATGAAAACAAAGTACTGTTGTATCATCAACATAATCATCCGTTGCCGAATGGAATGCCTATGTTCTAAGATGCGAATTGACAATTGACGATCTCTATCGGTGAATGAAACATTAAATGGGATCATCAGACTCACTTTTGTGTTGAAAAATATTGAAAATCAATCATTTTTATTTCTTTTTTTGGAAAATTCACAATTTTTTATCATTAATGTTGATTATTGAAAAATAAGCTTGCTAAACAAAGAAATAAAACTATATCGAAACACGTGCACAGAATCGAATTTATATTTCATACTTTTTAGATTGTTTCCAAATCGATATGATTGCAATCGTGTTTGTGTTTTCAATACTAATCGTCTTGGAACTTCTTTTCATGACAGGACCGTTTATGACATTCGGAATCAAATGGTGGCTTGAGCCAAGTCGAAAGAAGGTGGGCTCATCCGTTTTGTGGGTTGATGACTATAAATTTCATCGATATAACTCGAGCTCTCCCACCTACAATAACTGGTTTTGCGGAAATTACCAATCTTTTGGGTAGCATAAAATATGCTGGAAGTGAATAGAATAGTTTCTAATATTTTGTTCTATTTTCTCTCGTAGGTGCAAAGCAAAATGTCGAACGGATCCGACAAATAAGTCGATTGAATTCGTGAATCTCAACCATAATCATGGTCCAATGCCATTCGGGCAACGGAAGTATTATTGAAAATCGGAACATTTTTTCCATTCATCGCTTTCTCCACTCACAAATCCTATGATCTCTCTGATGATTTTGTTTTGATTTATTGTACTAGATTAAATGAATAAAAACGCAAATTCTTACAAATGTGTTATATTTTTAATGTTTTCCATTCATTTATGTTCAAGTTGTCAATAATAACCATCAAAAATCTAACGATTTCTCGTATTTTTCTTTTTTTCAGAATTCGGTTTTTCAAAGCCATTCATTGATTCGGCCGGGAATGCAATAATGTTCATCGACAGTGGTAAAGGGAAGAGGCAATTAAGCATCAATAGCCACATATTCACTCGCATGAGTCACCATGGTGTTGTAACTTATTATCGTTGCAATCAGTATACTACGCTTGGCTGTCAAGCAAGATGTCAGCTATCGTTTAAAGGCTTGAAAATCGTGTCGCTGGAACATAATCATGGTCTTGTGAAGCGATATCAACGTTAAACGTCTCCAATGCGTTTATCAATTTATATTCACAATATATACTCAAACTCACACATCATCGCAGCTGCAATTTTTTTTGAAACTCCAAGCTTTAGCATTCTTTAAATTTCCCTCTAGTAAAAATCTACTTCCTGGACACTTTTTTTTATAGTTCCTCATTGAAACCTATTATTTTATTGGAAGCAGGGTTGATTTATGCACAAATATTAAATTGAAATATAGTACATATTGCCTAATAAATGGAATTGAATACAAATACCCTGATTTGTAAATACAAAGTCTATTGATTTGTTTAGATTTGATGCAAGATCACTTTTGTGAATTCATTTTGATTGCCTTTCTTCGTTAATAGATTCGGCGTCTGGTGGAATCGAGCCAAAATGGTACTTTACTACCAGTCAGCGAGGTGGAAATATTCTCATCATTAATGACTATCAATTTTACCGATATGGTGCGGGAATGAAACAACGCTGGCTTTGTAACCGGTATCGCCGCGGGTAATTACACATTTTTTTGAATTAATACAAACCAATACTCAGTTTTTTCGACCCTTTTTTTCAATGTGCCTTTTTCTTTTCAACAGGTGTCAAGCCAAATGTAAATTCAACGAAGGCACCGGTGATATTCTGTTTGAAAATCTCTACCACAACCATGGTGTTGATCCTCCAAAGCGAAAGAAACGACGAAACTCTATGATTACCTAGATTATGTTTCTCTTTCTCCATTCTTTCAGTATGAAATTCTCTCAATGACCACCTTTTCTCGTATCCAAGAAAATTAAAAAAAAAACCTTAACAGATAATTCAGCTTCATGTTGAATAATTTATTGTGACAACACTATCAAAACTACTCGAAAATAAATGAGATGTGAAAAAATGCATTCACTAAACGCAATCATTGAGTTAAATCGAATGTAACTAATTTCTTTCAAAGATAGTTTAATTCAGTAAATTTCATTTCAGCACATCAGCCCAACGTACAATGGCTAAAGATGGACGGAAGAAATCATTTAAAATTAGTGGTTGATGGACATGAGTTTCACAAATATGGCCCCAATCGAAAGATGATCTATTATCAATGCCGATGCCGTTCATCACTGGGGTAAAGTTGACTTTGTTCATAAATGAACTCAATACTAACACTTTTTCATCCTTTTTCTAGATGTACAGCAAAGTGTCGCCGTAATATGGAGACTGGGGCACTTATATTCGACTGTCTCAACCATAATCACGGCATATATACGAACAAGCGCCAATGTTAAGCTGTGACATTCTATTAAAACAACTTGACCAAAGTATTTTTTGATGAAGATCGATAAAAAATTAAAATTAGGAGATTTTTATTTGCACCAAATATATTGTTATACAGAATCACTAATTCTACTACGAAAAAAAAACACGCGAATAAATTTTAAACTCTAATATGGCATTGATATTTCATTTTCATCACCAAAATCTGATCTCATCTGTAATCCAATTTTATTTACGTTAAATGTGAACGTCTGAATATGGTTATTATTTTGTGATAGATACACCAAAAATGAGATGGAAAGAAGGTCGAGGTCGAAGACATTTAATTTTGGTGATTGATGACTACGAATTTCATCGATTTGGTCCCGATCGAAAAGTCGTATCTTATGAATGTCGTTATCGAAAATCGATGAGGTATGTAATCCTTAGGGTATTTAAGCCTCTATAGAATTGAAACTGAAGGCTTTGACATCATATTAGATCATATTCAATTTGGATCTGTTTTTAGATGTTTAGCAAGATGTCGCCGTGACGTGGTAACGGAAGAACTCTTGCTCGATAACCTTCAGCACAATCACGAGCCAAATGTAGTTTTTCCCAATTCGTCAAGATATACATCCGATACAGAATGAAATGAAGTATACAACAACGATGATTCACAACAACGCAACATTTACAATCATTCGGAAAAGCAACTGAATTGCAAAGTCACTTAAAATGTTCCTTCGATATATTGGAATTAATCCATTAAAACGAATTAAAAACAGTATTGATATTATTATATATTATATCTAAAATGAGTTTATTTTAAATTCGAATTATCACGAAGAATTTCATTGCTATTATGCAATAAATTATCACAAAGTATATTTTTCTTCCTTATCTTGTCTTGTTGCTTCAATTTTAAAATGCCTTAATCGAAGATTCCTTCATTTATCTCAATCTTATTTTCAGCCAATGCACACAAAATCGAATGGAAACAAGGCCAACGACATTTGGTGTTGGTCATCAATGACCACGATTTTTATCAGAAAAAAGTTGGACTAAATGTTACATACTATATATGCCGGTGTAAAAAATCGTTGGGGTAAATTTTTAAATCATAAAATAAATAGTGAATTCAGCCTCTCTGATCGTATGTACAAATAGATAGAAAACGTCGAAGAAGAACAATAAAGCGGCACCTGGCCTGACTGGTTGGAGAAATAGAGAATCATGCACATAGCTTGCTGTAACAAATATGCATCTGTAATAGTTCAAACGTTGAAAGTATGACACATTGCACTTAGAACCCAGGTGCCGCTGTATTGTTTACTATTTTCATGATCGGAAAGGCTGAGTGAATCTATCATAATGATTGTATTTCTCTTTTTCAAGGTGTCCAGCAAAGTGCCGTTATAAACCTGAATCCGGTGAATTCCAGTTCATTTGTTTAGATCACAATCATGGCGTGAATTCATCCAAACGACATTGATGTCGTTACGATCTAAATAACTTCAAAAAGAACAATTCTAGAAGGAATTTCAATGAATTAACAATTTAACAAAGATAGCTATGAATAAAAAATAAACGACATCATACGTACAAATAAGTTTAATTCAAATTCAAAATTCATCTAATCTAGCTAAAAAAGAAGTATTTCATTCATTTAAAATTTGCTTGGAAAAATGGTTTAATCGAAGATTCATTCATTATTTTCAATTTTAGTTCCAGTCAACTCACCAAAAATCGAATGGAAACAAGGCCAGCGCCATTTGATATTGGTCATCAATGGTCACGATTTTCATCTGCAAAATGCTGGCCCAAACTTTACGTACTATATTTGCCGGTGTAAAAAAGTTTTCGGGTAAATTTTCATGTCAACAATCAAATAGTAAATCAATCACAATGATTATTATTCCTTCTTTCAAGATGTCCTGCGAAGTGCCGTTATAAACCCAAATCTGGGGAATTTTCGTTCATTTGTCTCGATCACAATCATGGCGTGAATTCATCCAAGAAATATAAACTTGATCTTGCATAGAAATAAGTTTAATTCAAATTCATAATTCGTCTTACCAAAAATCAAAATGACTGGAGACAAGGCCAAAACTATTTGGTACTAGTTACGATGGATACAATTTTCATACGAAAAAAGTTGGTCCAAACTCCATGCTAAATATTTTCAAAAAGAAAAATTCAAGAAGAAATGTTAATGTCTTAACTTAATGGAAACAAATATGAACAAAATTATTTAGTAGAATAGCAAAAAAATCATATGAAAATATAAATTTTATTCAAATTCAATAACCGTCTTATTCTGGCAAAAAAAAAAATTCAATTTTTTTTCTAAACATTTGCTTGGAAAATGGTTCAACCGAAGATTCATTCATTTTATTTAAATTTTGATTTCAGTCAATGCGCCAAAAATCGAATGGAAACAAGGGACACGAAATTTGCTGTTGGTCATTAATGGCCACGAATTTTATCAGAAAAAAGTTGGACTAAATGTTACGTACTATATATGCCGGTGTAAAAATGCCTTGGGGTAGATTTTCATGTTCATCAATTCAATGATGAATCAGTAATAATGAATATTTTTCTAATTTCAAGGTGTCCTGCGACGTGCCGTTATAAACCTGAATCGGGCGAATTTATGTTCATTTGTCTTAATCACAATCATGGTGTGAATACATTGAAACGACCATGATTGATGGCTACGCAATCTTAAAAAGGGTATTTTCAAAATTTTGAAAACAAATCCAAAAGTAATTCTAAAGAATCAAGCCTGAGTAAAGCAAACAAATATGAAAAAAAACAATTACTTAATAGAATAATAAACGAAATTATATAAACATAAAGATTTCATTCAAATTCTGTGCCCGTATTATCTAAAATAGCCATATTTACAACATTTACTTAGAAAAATTGTTTAATCAAAGATTCATTCATTAATCTAAACTAAAATTTCAATTCCAGTGAATGAGCCGAAAATCGAATGGAAACAAGGTCAGCGTCATTTGGTATTGGTCATCGATGGCCACGCATTTCATCGAATTAAAGCTACTCCAAACGTTGAGTACTATGTGTGCCGGTGTAGCAGAACTTTAGGGTAGATGTTCATATGATGATAAAATCGGTGAATTTGTGGTAACGATATGTGTTCTCTTTCAAGGTGCCCTGCAAAATGTCGTCACAATATTGAAACTGGGGGATTTTTGTTCAATTGTCTCAACCACAATCATGGTGTGAATACAATCAAACGACAATCGTTTGTTCCAAAAAAGGAGAGTACTTTTTGAAGTGACAGTGATATCGATGGCAGCTGAATGACTTCAAATATCTATGAAAAAAAAAACCAAAGAATTTTCTAATAAACTCGTCTCAAAAATATTTGGTATTTCCAATTTTTTTATGCAGACATCAATCATCGTAATAACTTTGTTTGAATTTCAATAAATATTTTCAATGTTTTGAGTACGTTTTCTTATTCAATCACATTTATTGTCACATTTGGTGACTTTTCAGAGCAATTCCAAAGAGTTTTCTATTTTAATTGTGTGTGTTTTTATCATTATTGAATCGTTACAGGTTCCAAACAAGTGTCCAAACCGAAAGTTTGGATGGAAAAGAGTAAACGGGGTTCAAACATTCTTGTTGTCGACGGCTATAGGTTCCACAGATATGGCACAGGAAAAGGCCGAAAGGTCGTTCAATACCTCTGTAGATGCTACAAAGGTGAAATCACGAAATTATACATATATTAAAATTTAAAAGTAATCGGTAGTTTTTCTTTCTTCATTCTATGTGCCAATGATCCACTTACAAAGCGTTGGGGTTTGTTTTCTTTTCGCACTGATTATGATCTGATTCATCATATTATGATAGTAACAAATCTGTTTCTCTTCTCCAGATGCAAGGCCAAATGTTCATTGAATGTTGACGAGAAGCGATTGAAGTTCAACAGTTTGAATCATAACCATGGAATGAATACAAAATAGCTATCACCACAACTGGCAGTTGTTTCATTGACGGAAAAAAATCACTTTCTTTACTCACATCTATTAATTAAGTTTATTACAGCAATAATTTGCTAGCAACGTGTTGTGCTATATTGTAATGAAAAATTATTATGCCATTATTCATGGTTAATTCTTCAGTGAATGTTAAATAATACCTCAGTATCATCATAATAAAATGAATAACTATCCTTTGAGACGTTTATTGATGAGCCTTTTCAGTTCCCGTCATATTTACAGAGCAAAAAAGTCTCAAATTAAATAATTGTTTATTCTAATCAATTTGATTTATATTTTCAGGCCATAGTTTCGGTTCACATGTAAATAGTGGTCCAGGTCAATCTATTCATGGCGTGAATTGGCACTGTGAGCGCAATAATAAAGGCGGTCGAAAATTGGTGGTGAACGGCCATCGATTTAACAGATATGGCTCTGGAGTTCGAAAGAGTTATCATTGGTATTGTCACCACTACCAGACTCTTGGGTAGGATTTGTTTTTACTGATTTTGAATCTTTCAGGTTTCAGTGCTGAAAACACACCAATTGATAATCTTTGTCATTATAGTTGTCGAGCAAAGTGCATTATGGATGCCAATGAAACCAATTTGAGAATCATCAATTTTGACCACAATCATGGCCACAACACTAACATACGAGCACGACCAAAACAATCACCGAAAGTTAAAGAAGAACACAACGCATAACTACGCCGAATCATGCACGCATTTTAACCTTTTTTCACTAATTAAAGCCTAGTTTACAACTCAACAGAAAAAATCCTCGTGATTTTTTTTTATATTAGCCTTGCGCATTTATTAGTCAATAAAACTTGGAGTATTTTTTGCAAGATTTTTTTTTGTCGACGGATGAACTAGGCTTAAATCCAAATATATATTCGCTGTACAGTAAATAAAGCTACACCATAGGCAATTAATAAATTGTTCCAATTGAGCAACACAATTAAATACCAATTCCTTTTCTTCATTATTGAATTTTAATTTTAATCAATTGTACCCAATATGCGCTTTATAGTTTGTAACAATGTTAACTTATATGTTTTATAAATATTTTAGGTCAATATTTGGTGCAAACTCCCTTTGGCCAACGAAACGATCAATCGAGTGAAAGTCCAAATCAAAATTGGTACATAGAAACCAATGAGAGAGGCAATCGATTTCTCATGGTGGCTGGACATAAATTCTATAGATATGGCTCTGGAATTCGGAAAACCTACTCATGGTGGTGTCGCTTGTATCGAAATTTGGGGTAATTTTTTTTCTCTGACTTTCTGTAGTTGTTTTTTAAACACTCTTGCGATTTGTTTGGTAATTTATTTTTCTCTTTTCATAGATGTCCAGCCAAATGTGTTATGAACGCTGATGAAACGTTTCTCAAAATTATCGATGCCAATCACAACCATGGCATTCACACAGCAGAACTCCATCGAAAGGAAACACCTGTCGCAAAACTCAAAGTGATTAAAATCAAATCCGAACCAAATGTTTGAGACGCGTCGAATGAATATCTTCCCACAAATTGGAACTGAATAAAACAATGATATTACTTGACTGCTTTTTGGTGCATATTCCATAGTGATTCCTATTCTTAAACGCTAATCATGATCTTGACACACTTCCAATTTGCATTGATTTTGACTCATAAAAATTTGACGTTCATAATTCATTTTCATCTTATTTTTGTTCATAATAAAACCGAAGAGTATTTTTTTTGATTTATCGCCTTTGGTTCAAGCAGAAATAGTGTTAAATTGCAGATGATTCATCTGTCAGAAATAAGTATTGAAAAATAAAGGATTTTGCTAGAACGTTGACCCTCCCTTATGTTCTCTTATTTGGCATGTGTTGATGGTTTAGAATGCATCCACATCATAATCTAATCAAAATTTCTGTTGATTTTATCGTTGCAGCAAAACTCAAGTACAAGATAGAATACAAGGTGTCAGATTCGGGTAAAATAAGACTCATCATCGATGGATATGTGTTTGGTCGCTCGAATGAGTATGGCAGCCGAACGATATACCGGTGTAACCAGTACCGTGAACTCGGGTATGATGAACTCAGTTTTATTTCTATTGTTTTTAATTTTAAAGTGGATTTTCCAAAGGGTACATTTTGGTCTGTACATCTAACACACACTGCTAATCAACAATGATCATCTAAAGAAAAAGTTCGTTAAAAAACCACACATTTTTTCTTACAGATGTTTGGCACGAGCTCGAGGTACTACAAACTGTTTAGATGCCAAGGATGTGGTGGTGATCGATTTCAATCACAACCACGGAACAAAAACCATTCATAAAAAGAAAGAAAAATTTAAATTCGAATTTAAACATTAATCACGAATTGATCAAACAGTTACCATATATGAAGAAATGGATGTCTTTATGTTCTGAAGAAGCACTCTCAACGTAATTAGGCTATGAATATTTTTTGTATATTCGAAACGATTCCACACGATTCGACAAGACTTTGACTATATCTCTTGAATCCTGGATATTCTTTGAAAAATCTGGATTTTCGCCAAAATCTATTTACATTTAAAAAAAAATATTATCTTTCCAATAATTGAGATACAGGAACACAGATTCTGGTTCTTATTTCTATGTGATGCAATTTTTTTTATTAGCTAATTATTTATAGACTTGAAGAGTTAAGTTGGGCTGACATTTATTTAAAACACTTGGAACGTCGCAAATTTATTTACAAAGAAATACTTTGATTTTCATTGCAGACGCCAAACTGGTACTTAAGCCTCGAAACTCTGAACATTTATGCCAACAAAACTGAAACGAAACAACAAATATATCATTAAAATCAGCTCTATTATACTGTCTATATTGCCATGTAGTTGAATAGATTATTTTGTAAATGGAATTACCTAATAAACACGTTGAATAAATATCATGAATAGATAGGTGTTCGATATAAATGTCATTTTTTTAAATTTGAAATAGTAGAAAAAAGTAGCATTTAAACCAATCAAGATCTTGTCGAACACTTTAACCAATAAAATGCATTTTAATTTTCAGTAATATATCGGAATCGACAAGGTCACCTCATTGAATATTTTGCAGATCGCCGAAAGAGGAAACTTTTCGTGGACGGGTATCCATTCTCAAAAGATACTGTGAAGAATGGATGGATTTATTGGCGCTGCGTTGGGTGGTAAAGCAACATTTACAACTTATTTTATTTTCATACTTATTTTTATTCGTTGACTCATCATTTTAGGCGCAAATCTGGTTGCCGGGCAAGCGTTCGATCAAAAGAACATGATACAGAACTGAAGCAACTCAAAGTCAAAATCAATGAGCACAATCACAAATTAGAAAATTAGAGTACAAATTTGATCATTTATTTCGAATTCATATAATTGACAATTTCTCTCCATTTGTTATGTCACAAAAAGGCTATGACACTGCGTCAGGCTAATATTGCGTAAGATATTCGATGACCATGAAGAGAATAGAATTCATTCAATGAAAAGTATACTTAGCATAGATATATTTTAGTAAACACGTTGTAAATAAAACCACTTGATACATTTATTGAATACCTTGTTTTTCTTTTCTATCATTTTGTATACATAATTTCAATCCCCTTCCGATTTTCACCACATTTTCAAGTTTATTAATTGAATTTTATTTCTTTCCAAGGAGTGTTCGTGAATGAGCAGGGTCACTTCATTGATATGGCACCAATGAACAAACCGGGAAAATACAACATTCGCATCGATGGCTATTCGTTCGGCAAATGGACTTCTTCCAAGCAATTACTCTACTGGCGTTGCAGTCGGGCCCAGGCCATCGGGTTTGTAGCTTGAATTATTACCATTTTTAAACTTATCCATATAGATGTTTGATGTTGAATTATCAGCTGTTTCATATCAGTGAAGTGTCACAGTCACAGTGAGCATTCTAACGATCATAACGCATACATACATACACGTACATTCCGTATGCCATTGATCGTATGAGTGTGCGTTTATACTCATTCGCATGCTCACTGCTGTGAATGTGACACTTCACTGGTAAGTAACAGTGGCTGCTAATTTAACATCAACAATTCGTCGTGTGTAAACACTTGTTAGTTCAATAATTTTTTATTTACTCATTTCATTCCAAGTAGAAAATATTACAATACACCAAGATATGATCAATTTCGTAACATTTTTGTGTGTCGTACCATTTTAGGTGCAAGGCTCGTGCCCGAATCAAGAATACCGAAGGGATGCGAAGCATTCACGTCGTTTGGCCATACCATAACCACGACGTTAATGAGTGATATGCCATAGAGACAACGAGTTTTTGAATCAACAAAACTTAATTACCAAAATATACAAACATTCCAAAAAAAAACACACTGTAGTAAAAAATTTAGACAAATGTTTTGACGAATAAAAAGAGGGAAATTTTTATCTTGTGACAAGTTTATTTTGAGTTTATTGGCGATTTGAATACTTACATCAAACTAAATTTATTGAGTAATTTTCATTTTACTAATACGAAAATTTCATATTTTTAGGATCATATAATGCAATGCTGATCGAAGAGAGGTCAAAGTCTGATTCATCCGAAAATGAATGCGCTGAATATGCCTACAACCGCAAGGGCCAGTTGGTTGTTAATGGCTTTCCATTCATACGATCTGCAGTCAAAGGTGCTCTTAACACTTCGATCGAGTGGCGTTGTGCCGACGGCAGAAAACACAAATGCAACGCTCGCGTTCGAACACTCGGCAAAACATTGCAAATCATTAACGTTGTCCATAACCATGAACCTCGAAAACAAAAACAATTTAGTGCCATTGTTTGGAGTGAAAATGCTTGATTTTTTTTAAACCATTTTTTTTCAGTTCAAGAATAAAGCGTGAATAAAGTTATCCAAATAGTTTTTTTTGTCCGATTATTTTTTCTGTTCTAAATTATTGGTTATCTCATAAGTTTTGAATTATACGTCTTGGATAGCGAAATTTCTCAAAGTAACCATTTTGATGTATGTTTTAATCAGTAGGAAGGATCAAAATCGTGGAATGCCAATCATTGCGGATTCCTAGGTCACCTACCCGGTACAGAGTGCAACAGCCAGTTTTGATGAAGACTGAATTGGATTTCAACCCGGAGAATGTGCTGAAACGGACTAAAACTGGGCATTCCTTGGTTTGTAATTTGAATTATTATCATTTTGAATCGCAAACATTTTTTAGTTGAAAAAAGAATAATGCTTCGACTTTTTCTCGTATTCAAACGACCGATTGAATACTTTCTATTTTATGAAATTGTTGTTTGTCATGTCTTTGTAGGTCATGGTGAAAAGAACCCGCGTTAAAGGCTTTTGTGTTGAATGTATCAAGAAGAAAAATGATCCAATGTACAAGAAACATATGGTCAAAATAATCACGCATTGCCCGCAGTGTCCAGGCGGAAACTGGATTTGCGAAGGATGCTTCGATCGTAAGCATGCAAACCTCTAGACCATTTCAAATCAAATCACTTTTTGCATTGACACCTTTTTTTAGATCAATTTTGTACACATTCAGTACATGAATTAAGGTTTACTATGAAATAATATTAAGTTTGAGGATATAAAATCTGTCAGGTCAGGTAAATTGTGAATTCTTGATAGAAATATGATACCGAATTGATTGAAATTAAAATCAGGGCTTCAAATTGCTTGATTTTAATTAAGAAGATTCATCATACTTTCATTTTCCTAATCAGCTGTTTGCTTTCGATAGATTGTTCTTGACAAATGCATATGACATGTCTCTACTTAGATGCTGGTTTTATTACATTCAATAAGAAATCTGTAGCCTATTTCACCAAATTTTTTCATGAAAAGTTTTCATGAGATTTTCTCCTCAAGTTTTTTTGGTCAAACAAATATATCTAAATGTAGCAATGAGAAAATCTCAATAAAAACGTGAAAATAGTCTCATTTTTTTGACATTATTTTAAGCGCCAACTTGAAATTTCGAGATTTTTTCACAAAAATGTGAGATCACATCATGGTTGGCTCAAAAATAAATGAAAATTTAAAATTTGCGCTCAAAATAATGTCAAAAAAATGAGAATATTTTCACGTTTCTATTGTGATTTTCTCATTGCTACATTTAGATACATTTGTTTCACCAAAAAAACTTGAGAAGAAAATCTCCTGTAAACTTTTCATGAAAACATTTGGTGAAATAGGCTGCTGCTTATTCTTTCCAATTTACATACAAATTACGTTTAGTTTTTACTTTTGGTCTTATTTTCTACTGTCAACAATATCAACGATAAACTTAAAAGTACAATCAGCCCTGAACATCCACGTCGCTTCAATTTCTTGTAGGAAATTGCATGTGAAACCAAAGTTTTTCAACCACAATATATTTCATGTGCCTATTAACTGGCAATACCAGTCAGGCATGTGAAATTGTATGAAGAAAATAACATTCAGTTATCTCATTTTCTTAACTGACATCAAATAAACAGCGGAATCATATAAACTGTTATCAGAATTCAATTTTGCTTTGAAGTAGATCCGATTCGGAAAATATTCATATTTCTTATAAAGGCCCATTGTCGCGTACTGTGTAATTGGTCGATTGACCATTGCCATCGGTCCAAATAAGATTTTAGTTTTCGTAAAATTTGCTTCCCTTTTCGTAATAAAATTTTAACGTTTTTTCTTTGTTTGTAAATCAGAATGAATGATGAAATAAAGTAGAGACATTTGACAAATCATTGGAAACATACTCTCTTTTCTTAATCAGCATAGAAGTAAAGCGAATTACTGATTTTATTTTGACGAAACCCAAAAGAACTTCTCCCAACTTACGATAGATGGCGCCATGGTGTGAATTCGCTGCGGCAATATTTACAAAGGTTTTTTTTGCTGTACGATTCGGGGCGTCAGTAAACGTCAGTCATCGACACATTCAATGGATCGCATACAAACGCGCTATCTGGACGAAGTGCAGAGGCAAAAAAAAGAAAAAAAGCAAATAATTCCTATCACTTGTAATTCAATTAAAATAGTAAATTTCCGTCAAATGGCCACCAACAAATATACAATAAAAGCGTAAAAGGTTACATCAGTAAGAAGTGAAAAGCCGAAATAATTGGATAAAAACCATAAATCGGATGCAGCGCAGCAATAAAAGCAAAGTTGTAGTTTAGTTTGTGACTTCTGGTTGTACAATATATATATAAAAAAAACAGTTCTTTGTGTTGATAAGTTCTGTGCTTTACAGTTTTTTTTCTCGATTTGCTTCAGTTGATTTGGTCGTGGTGAATCAGTTTGATTTGACTGTTCAAAGCAGCGATATCAAACTGGAACTGTGTATTAAATGTGAAACTATCATCGGTTGTCTGTCAAAAGAAATATCGAGAGAGAGCGAGAGAAAACATAAAACACACATAGAGAGAAGACGAGAAAAAAATAACACACATTGTGTAATGAATGCTGTGTACATCGTGCACAACATATCAAGTGAATCATTTTCTTTTCGGTCATCATAATCAGCGAGCGAAAGAGAGTGCAAGCGCTCAGTAAAACGAGCCAGTGTTCAGTGGTTTTTTTTTGTTGTTATTTCTTTTTATAGACGATTTATTGAATTGTTCAACGTAAATTTATTCGAAAGCAGAAAGGAATATTTAGCAGAAAATGATGGTTGAAGACGGTACTGCTGATGCGACCAAAAGGTATAGTACCATGTCATTTGAGATTGATGGTGAAATCTACATCAGTGCAGTGCCATTTGACATTTAATGCCATATCGTTTGCTTATCCAATTTTTCTATATCGTTTTTTCTCTCTTTTTTTCTCTCGTCGCTGCAGACTCAATGTCAAAAAACAAACGCTCGATGGTAAGCATCACATATATTGTTTATTCACAATTGCACCAAACCATTTACACGTCATTGATTTTTTTTTCGTTCGTTCGTTCATTTCATATCACTTCATTTTTTTTCTCTCGTTATTGTGTGCATTTAGATGCATATGCGGTGCCTGCGAACTTTTTGGAAATAGACGTTGTTAATCCCATGACCACGATTACAGCTGGAAAAAAACGCTTTACGGACTATGAAGTCCGCATGAGAGTAAGTACGATACGATAACACGCTCTGTTTAACGCTCTTTTATATGCATGCTGATGTTGTTGTTAATCTTATCATTTTTGAAAATATGAGGATGGCTTTTTTTTAATTGATGCTCAACAAAAATTGGTGTTTCATTTGCTGATATTCACATCTATTCTTAGTACAGAGAATACATTATGCTTCAAGTGACACCAACTGTTACGAGTTTCGCCTACTTTCCCGTTCTGTTGTACGTTTCAATTTCGTTCGTTGGTCCCGGCTTTCGGACGATTATTTCGTCATTGTTTCTTTTGATTATGAATATAAATATTTCGCTTCGTTTCATTTTTTTTTTGTGCTGACCAACGCAAAATATGGCTTCTCGAATATTCAATATGACAATGCTAATTGCATTTCCCTCCAAATTCGCACGCAGCTAAAATTAATACATTATGACATTTCAATGAATCATCGATCGTCTATTTCATAACTGCGTCAGAAATTTGTGGTTTTTGGTATTCGAAATTTGTTGTTCAAAATGTTGTTTTTTTACCCATTGTATTCTTATCGTTTGTATTCCATAGACGAATTTGCCCGTATTCAAAGTGAAGGAGTCAAGTGTACGCCGACGTTACAGTGACTTTGAATGGCTTAGGAATGAATTGGAACGTGATAGCAAAGTGAGTAGTATCCCGAAAAATTCAATACGAACTTCAAAACGGAAATATTTCATGATGATTCATAATTAATGGTATTCAACGTTGTTTTCTCTCTTTGCGTGTATAGATTGTGGTGCCGGCATTGCCTGGAAAAGCTTGGAAACGTCAAATGCCATTCCGTGGCGATGACGGTCTATTTGATGAGAATTTCATCGAAGAGCGACGCAAGGGCCTTGAAAGTTTTATCAATAAAATAGCCGGACATCCACTTGCCCAAAACGAACGATGCCTGCATATGTTCCTACAGGAACCGACTATCGATAAAAATTACGTGCCGGGCAAAATTCGCAATACATAAAAGTGTGAAACCGTAAATTAAACTAACAAACAAACAAAATACAGAAATCTAACGCGCAATGCATATGTGTTTCGTGTGTTTCGTGTGTTTCGTGTGACATTAAGTTGAAATCCGTTTGATTGCTTCAGAACATATTCCGAAAACCGAATTAACACCGTTGAAAAATAATAATTATGCAAACTCAGAGAGATCCATAGAAAAAAAAATAATAACAAAATGTACCGCGTTTTTCGTTGATCACCGTTTGTTTTAAGAGAAAACCAAAAATGCCACTACAAATTGTACAGGTTCGACTTTTGTTTGGTATCATCAGTCGAATGTTCCAAGAATCTTTTTTACAACACAATTCAAGTATTTTGCTATGACATAACATTTCGTGCTTCTTCCAAATCACAAATAAACCAATATCGGAATCTCCTCTATCTCAATCAAAATTTTCAACTTGAAATTGTTTTCCTTTACAAAAAAAATTATATTCTCAGAAAAAGTTGGAATTGGCCAAATTTCCACAGTTTCAGTTGCTGTCGCAAATTGAAACGAAAAAAACAACTCTATTTTCAAAAAATCCAGTTTATTTTTATCCAATTGGCTTTGTTAAAGAATAAAGAAAAAAAAATTAATCTAAAATAAGAGAACAAAAATGTTGAACCCGACAAATACAATTTTTTTCAACAAGAAATGAATTTCAAGGGACAGTTTTATAGTTAGTATTAAATTTATTGGAATCTTCTAGTTTGTTCTTTTGAAATTGCGAAAAGAAAAAAGTCAGGAAAAAAACAAATGCAGTAAAAATTAAAAAAAAAAGTTTAAATAAATTATATGTGACTCAATAGATAAAAAAGTATTTAAAATGAAAACCAAGACTTTGCCCACACTTTGTTTCAATTTGTTCACTAATCATGTTTATCAACGATACAAACAAATTCGAATCGTTCCAATCGGTTATGTTACTATCTGTTAAGTAATTGATTGAGCCAATTCTAATTGGCTCATACTGATTGGGTCTTAGCTCATCGACAAATATGGACATGTTCCATTGTTTCAATACGTAAAACTGATATTTAACACACAACAAACAATCATTTTACATAATCGTTTGCAACAACAACAACCACAAAAAAGCTATATTCTGTAAAATGGAAGTTGTTTTTTTAGCAAGAAATAAGTAAAAAAAATGTCTATTTTACCGGTTCATGATCAGAAGAGAGAGAAAAATACTATTGAAGCAAATTAAGATTTTACTCTAATTTAAACAACAACAAAACTGTATTTGGTTCGAAGTCTCAGTTGGAAATATTCATAGGTCTTTGAGAGAGAAACAAAGAAAGAATAGAAACATTTAGTTAAACCGTTTGGCTAAACTGAACAGGTGCAAGCTGAATTTTGTGCAAGGATTCGTTGATATGACACACATCCTTGAAATGTCATACGAAATTGTATGCCATTAGCCTAAGTATTTTGAATTAATATGTAATTTTAATAAGAAAGGACAAAATGAAATATACAGCAAGAACACTTTTGAAGGAACATTGACGCGCCTTTGCATTTCTCATTCATTCAACTCTGTTGGCATTTTATCAATTTTCCACTTCACACTTGACTAATCGAATTATTCCATTTTTTTTTCTCGTCTATTTTAGGTGAAACGATTTCGATTCGGAGATTAATACAGAGCATCAATTTGACCCATTTTCTAAATATAATTTTTTGTAACTGAACAATTCAGAATGAGAAATAAAATCAAATTACTGAAATGATTGTTTCAATTGTTTAGAATTGACTGTATTCATTTGAGTTCAAAATAGTTCAAACATATTTCAACCCATTTTCTACCAAGCGTTCGATTTCCCATACAAAATGTTCGATTTTTCGAACACTTGGTAGAAAATGGATAAATCTAAAGAGCTTCTCTAGTTTTTTTTTTTATTCTAGGATTTTTTGTAGTGTTTTTCCGTACAATTTAAATTCTAAGACCATTATTTAAGACCATTTTGACAAAAATTAGTGCGATTCGATTTCTAACACTTTTTCCTATTACCTTCTCGTTACTCCAAAAAGGAATCCCCGAAGGTGGTTTGAAGTACGTGATTGGAATACGTGGCAAAAAGAAGATTCTCGTGGATGGCAACACGTTCTACCGATTTTTATCGACAAAAACTAATCAGACGTGGTATTGTTCACAGCGCAAAGGAAAGCGCTGTCGAGCTAGTTTCCGACTGTTTCCAAACGGCAAGCTGCTGCCCGTCATTACAGGTTATGTTACTATCTGTTAAGTAATTAATTTAGCCAATTCTAATTGGCTCATAATGATTAGCTTTCAGCTCATCGACAAATATGGACATGTTCCATTGTTTCAATACGTAAAACTTATATTTAACACACAACAAACAATCATTTTACAGAGCATTCGCATGACACACCTCCGGTGAATACACGAGTTTACATCACAACCAATCCGAACGATTTATATTATGATGTTGATAATCATGTACATATCGACGTGGTGGCATTTGTAAAAGACGATCCGGCCGTAAATGAGTCATTTGAATAAATGTGGCAAAAGATGTTCGGAACAGTAATTTTCTCTGCATAAAACTAAGAACTGCAATTTGATGCAATGTCCAATCGAACAAGTACAAAAACTAAGACCATCAACCTTAGCGATTAAGTAGTGCAATGTCCTTTTTTTCGTTTGTATAATAAAGCTTTGTATGATAGAGATCAATTGATAATTTGAATAAATAACAAATAAAATTAATTTAATTTAATTTAATTAAATGGCATGACAATTCTCAATCAATGCACCTGCTTGCATGTCCATTGTCCGTTATCCTTGCGTGTTCGATCAAAACTAATGAAATTGCATCGAATATTTGTCTCATTTTTTTTAAAACACAGACATAAAGCCATTTATGTTGAATTTTATGCCAACGTCGCCATCGACAATCGCTTGTTCCAATTACCAGATCAACTGCAAGGCAAACTCCAGCAACAAAGCGCCAAAGAAACGTAAACAACCAAAACGGACAGCAAAAACGGCAAAAATCAAAATCGTTCCAGAGAAAGTTATCGACAACCTGCAACGAAAACTTCTGATTTATGATGGGAACAAGTTTTACTGTGACCGAAAATCAGACCGTAAACTCATCTGGAAATGTTCAACATCTCGTTTCACAAACTGTACCGCTCAGCTAACGACCAAATTGAATGGCAGCCAAATCAATGCAGCCGGTGCACACGACCATGCCAACAACACGGAATAGGGAAATTCGAACGATAATAAATTGGAACATTTTCAAATAAAGTTGTTATATTGTTTACGCTTTCGATTAAATCAATGTGATTATGGGAAGTTTGCCAGGTAGAAGTTCCTATGGCCCACATCGAACTTTTTACTCGATGATGATGTAGAGATTGGAAATAAAGTGCAATCGAAACGGTTGCTGTTTTTCAGTTGAAGAAAAGTTTGTTGCATTCAGTTGGCTGCATTTATTTAATATCAAATTCAATTTATCCATAACAAGGTAAGCAATTTAAAAGTGAGCGCATACGATGATGGGTAAAATTCAATTATTTCTCCGATTCGGAGATGAAGTCCTTCAACAATGAAATTTGTATGCTGGTGCTGCTGTCATTTTCATCACGACGACGATGATGATGAAGATAGAAGCCAATCAAAACTGTTATGACTGCTCCAGTTTCGAGAGCATGTGGATCTGGTTTTTTATTTCAATGTACGGATTCGCTATACGGCTGATTGGGTGCGAGAGACAGGTGCGCTGGTGTTTTTGCAATTGTGAAATGGTGCCAATGCAAAATTGAAATATCTAATAGACAATTTGTGTCTATTTATTGCTTCGGTTTGCCCACAAAATCATGGTTTTCATTTCCTTGCCAGGATACTCCATATCCTGTCAATCTGTGCCAAGCGTGTTTCGCTTCATTCGATCACAAAATCTAATTTATTTGCGGGATGAATGTGCCACACATTCTCTCTCCCTCTCTCCCCCTCTCTCCCCCTCTCGCTCAATCTCTGGTTTCTCTTTTTATCATCGATGCATTGAATAAATTGCGTTTTTGCATAAATTTGAAATTCAACAACTGCTGTTGCACCATTGCATTTCGATGGCGCGACAACACCTCGAAACACACTCGAGCACATACCCCGAATATAAAAGATTCAAACTGTTGATATGTCCCGACGTTAGTGCTGTGCCAGCGAAATAGAGTGCCGTTATGTTGTGTCGCTTCGATTTTAACGACCAAACGACGATTGTGCTCGACGTCGTCGTATGCCGGTGTTGGTGTGTACCATCGGCCGCTGCGAGTTCGCATCCCTTATCGCATCGATATGCGGGCGCTCCAACAATCGAACCAATGGTTTGTTTTCACTTTTCAACGCTTGTCAAAGTACGCGGCAACATGGATAAAACCGTTTGCTCCGCTTTCGCAATCGTACAGGAGAAAATGGCTCGTTTGTCGTACATTTGTGGAATTATTGTGGCGTACCAATGAAATGACTTCCAAACAAACAAAAAAAACACACACCAAACGATGAACAGAGAAAAAAAAAAACAACACACAACGTACGAATGTGTACACAAACAGAAGCGAATAGCGAGAGAAAAAAAAACGAAATCTGAGCGTAGAGCAGTAGCAGCAGCAGCACGGTGTGTGGCGCGACACTGAGGCAACAGTCGAAGCGATTGAAATTTATTAACCAAGACGAGACGCACACATGTCATCATTGGTTCATCGGTAAACCAACCGACTGATATATATGCGATTGTTAGCATTTTTGCGTTTATCATTCAGTGTTAAGAAGTCGTTCGAAGTGTTTGGCACCGAAGAAGAAGCACGCGTGATGCTGCATTAAAGAAGGAAAATCCACATTCTCGACTACTGTCTTCATTTGACGGACTCTCGCGCTCTCCATTACTGAGTCGTTTACGAAACCGATTTTCGCAATTCTCGTAATAGACACACAGACACACACAAACCGATTTACTTAAGTGGTGGCTTTGAACGTAAAACCGTTTTGTTTCCAAACAACAATCGTCGATGGTGGTGGTGGTTTCAAACGAAAGTGTCAAGTGCCATTTCCATTGAGTGTGTGACTTTTAGCTGCGGGAAAATTTTTCCATTCAACAATTTTCTTCCTTTGAGTTGATTTCATTTCAGTTTTATTTCTGATGTGTTAAACTCAATTCGATTCTCTTTTGTTGTTCGGTTTTTTTTTGTTTCGGTTTTTGTTTCTTCTTTTTTCCAAATGCAAGTGATCCGAATTGCCTCAATCAAGTTATTATATAAAAATAATCGGAAAATTCGATTCGATTTTCTCGTTTGTCGCAAATTCTCGTGGAAAATGATTTTCCACATCAAATGAACGAATGAATGAAAGTAGAAAAAAGTAGCACTCGTTGAATTTCGACGAATTGGATACTCGTAGTGCACACGCTGTGTGTGTGTGTATTGTGTGCAGAGAAAGAAAAATCGATTTATCTACACATGAGAAATAGACAAACGTATATGAAAAATGATTGAAGCGCGTACAATGCAATCGATGCGGGTTTCATTCATTGATTCATAAAATAGGTTATTTTGATTGTGAGTACCATTTCACGTGTGTACACCACGAGAGAGAGAGATAGAAATATAGCGGGAGCGTGAATTATACAAGCCTCCAACGACCAAAAACAAGAGGGAAAACTTGATTTTCTTTTGGGGAAAATGTTGTCAGTTGAGCAAAATCATATCGATAGTGAATTTAACGGTGGCTTCAGCACAATTGGTGATTCGGAATTGATAAACCTTCGGCCGAGCAGTGGTCAAACACTTTTGAATGCACACCAATTACAGCAGCAACAAACGAAATCGCCATCGGCAACAGTGACAGCCAAAACACAAAACTCCACGCTGGTGCAATCGAATTCGAATAGCAAGAAATCGGTTATGTTGAACTTTAAATCGGGCGCGATAAATAGCACGGTTGAGGAGTTCGGCAATTTCTCGACACGATTTAGTGACACATTTACACAAAACGGACGTCGTTACCGATCCTGGTTACTAGCCGTTGGCATTGCAATCAGTTGTTTATGTTGTTTCGTGTTTGGCCTAAGTTTCAATTATTTATTCGACACGCAACCATGTGGCGGTAAGTTATTTATTACTGCGAATATTTCCGCAAAGCCTACCGGGGCGAATGAATGGCCGAATGAGTGAATGAATGTGAATGCGAGTGTGTGTATGTACAGATATACACGGATGTATACGGAAAAACATTCCATCATACGTTTTCCCTGTTTCGTTTGTTTATTCCATTAGAATGACGGTTTTACACGTGCGTTGCCATCATTTTTTGTTTCTCTTTTTTTTTTGTTCGTTCAGTTTTTATTGAATGAATCACTACAAAGTATGGTATTTGAATATTTATGTCGGCAAAAAAGTTTTTAGTTTCACGATGCGACCGAATGAATGAATGAGCGAGTGTTTTACCATTTTTCATCCTTTATCCTTGTGTATAATACATATATGTATCATTCATTTCACTATGAATTATTGAATACTCATATATGGAATATTCCTAAAATGCTTTCTACCTATGGCTTCGGGGGGATTCCACTTGGGTGATGTGTCACTTTGTGCATTGTCTTATTTTAAGCAGCGCAAAGGCATCTTCGAAAATTGTGTATAACGGAAAATTGCGTGAAAACAGGTAAGGTGGACGCGTGTTGCTTGCGTTAAAGAGAGAAAGCGAAAGCAAACGCATTATTTATTGACATTGGACTCATTTGAACTTCTTGTCGTTGTTTGTCTCTGTTTTTCGTTCTGTTTATTCTTAGAACCTCTTGATTTAGACATTTTATTATGAATGATACCTGTTCAAATATTTATGTGGTAAATGTAAAGCTGTGGGAAAACTTTTCTCCATAAATAAACATGCGACGGATTAAGCATTTGCAATCAAGTAATACTTTGAAGAAGAAGATGATGAACAACAAAAAAAAAAACTGCACGTGTAATTTGTTTGAGTGTGAAATAATTTATGACGATCGGTATTTAGTGGAAAAGTTTTTCAGCTCGTGTGACTTTTGATTGATATTCACAAGTGATATCTCTGAAAGCAATCGGCTCTCGAATATTGCTGCACGCTTAGATAATCAATCAATTTCCATGTATTGATTCCATCAGAGGAACCGACCTTTCGAATGATTTCTCATCCATTTTCATCTCATTTCAGCCTCGTCGCTACTCTCGGCTATGAACCGAAGCGTCGACCCATGTAAGTTTTCACACCCAACAGAAGAATCAACTCAATTTCATTCAATCCATCTCAAACGATGTCCTTTTTTACTTATTGCCATTCTCAATTGATAGGTGATAATTTTTTTCAATATGCTTGCGGAGCATGGAATAAGAAAAACATTATACCAGAAGATAAAAGTTCCTTTACCACATTCGAAGTGAGTTGATTGATTCGTCAGCCTGTTTGACATGATAAATAAAATAGCATACGCTTTTGCCATTCCATTGATTTAGGTGCTAGCCGATCAACAGCAAGTGATACTGCGTCAACTTCTCGAAGAGCCTTTAAATAATGACGATAACAAAGCCACGATCAAAGCAAAACACTTTTATAAGAGTTGTGTGAATATAAGTGAGTGCTCTTTTCGGATTGGTTTTTCTTTTCTGAAGAAGAGTGGTTTTCAACTCGCTTGAGCTGCTTTGAAATGGAAAGTATTCAAAAATGATATGCGTTTCAATTTTAGCCCAAATTCGAGATATTGGCGATGCGCCATTAAAATTGCTACTGAAGTACTACGGTGGTTGGCCGGTGTTAGAAAAAAATTGGAAGAAACCCAACCAAAGCTTCTCTTTGGAACTGATGTTGGGCACAATGCACGGCGAATTGAATGAACAATTTTTGGTTTCCGTTCTAGTTGGACCAGATGATAAGAATTCAACGGTTAATATTTTAGTGGTGAGTTACATTAATAGCAAATTAACAGAATATTTAGTTATCCTTGAATCGAAAATATCGATAATTTTCAATATTCACAATTTTCAATTTGTTTCGTCACAATTTTTATTTTTTGTCGAAGAACGGGTTTCACGATTAGATTTTCAGTCTTTAATGTGTGTGTTGTTGAGTGACAGTCAAGCAGCGACGGTGAAAATGAAACAAGTTCTCTTCAAATTCTGTCGATTTATTTTCATTCAATCTTTATTTTTTTTCATGATTGGGAAAAAATAAATTTTTCATTTTGTCAATTTTCAAGGTTGATCAACTGATATTGGCACTTCCATCCAGAGAATATTATCTGAAAGGCAGTAGCAAAACTGATTTGGTGGCATATCACAATTACATGACAAAAATTGCGATGATTTTGGGCGCTGATCCAGCTACGGTTGCTGAGGACATGCAAGAAGTGTTGGATTTCGAGATTCAATTGGCAAATGTAAGTTTTATTCCAGTTTCATCTTAGCTCATTTTTGTACGATTGATGAATTTTCAGTGCGTTTTCTCTTTGCGAAAATGTAACACCTTGACAAAATTCATCATTTGAATTCATTGCTGATTTTCCATTTCTTTCGATTTTTTTCTGACTCCAATGATCGAACGTTTTACGCATAATGATTGAACATTTTTGACTATCTTCAGGCATCGTTATCGGAAATTGAGCGTCATGATACAAGTTCAGTGTATCATAAACTAACGTTGGCTTCGTTGAAGCAGCTAGTGCCGCAAATAAAATGGGATGTGTATTTACAGGTGAAAATACTTTTCGTCCACATTTTTTGGCTTCTATTTTTGAATAAACCATTTTTTGACTTTGAAAATTTTCCGTTTTTTCAATAGACTTCCTTTGCGCCGGAAACCGATATCACGGACACAGAACCGATTGTAGTGTATGCCATTCCGTATCTTGTCGAATTGGGTCGACTCATATCAGAGACAGATGAGCGAATCATTCGAAATTATATATTATGGCGAATGGTTTTGTCGCTGGTCTCGCATTTCATCGATGACTATCAATCGGAGCGAATCGAATTCCAGCGAATTTTGCTGGGAATCAAATCGGAACGGCATCGTTGGTCACAATGCGTTGACTGGACGAATAAAAAACTGGGCTTAGCGGTTGGTGCACTGTTCATCCGTGACAATTTCAATTTGGAAAGTAAAGAAACGGCGCTGGAAATGATCCACACGATACGAGAGGCATTCAATGAACTGCTAGATGAAAACGATTGGATGGACGATGAAACTCGGGCGGTGGCAAAAGAAAAGGCGAATTCGATGAATGAACGCATCGGTTACCCGGATATTTTGACAAATGTAAATTGCAACAACGAACCAAACGATACATTTTACAGAATGAGCAAATAACAATTTTATCGTATTTTTAGGTGACTGAACTGGAGAAAGAGTATTCGAACGTAAGTAATGCCCCGCATCGTCTCAGCCCAGATTGAGTTTAATCAGTGAATCTTTTGCTCTCTCTCTCTCTCTCTCACATGCACAGCTGACGATTTCCGAAGACACATTTTTCGACAACATTTTGAACATCTTGAAATGGGACGCACAACGACAGTGCCAAATGTTACGAAAACCAGTGGAAAAGCAGAAATGGGCCACCGAACCAGCCGTTGTCAACGCTTTTTATAACCCAAATCGCAACGACATTGTGGTAAATATCAAGCAAAACTGTTGTACGCTTTCAAACAAATCTAATTGTGTCAGTCAATAAAATCTAATTGTCTCAGTTTCCCGCGGGTATACTTCAACCACTGTTCTACAGCAAAAACTTTCCCAAATCACTGAACTATGGAGGTGAGTCGTCCATTTTTGTCGTTATTATAGTTATTACTTATTAAACTTTGTTTTTGAAACTAATAATCGAATTTGCATGGACTTTCATGGATTGAATGCAGGAATTGGTGTTGTGATCGGCCATGAAATCACTCACGGTGAGAACTTGTCTCTCTTCTTAACTAGCATCTCCCTTGCACTTCATTTATATCCATATTAATTTAACTAATCTTGCAATTTCATTCGCTTTCCAGGATTCGATGACAAAGGTTGAGTTTTTTTGTTGTTGTAATGTTCTCGAACAGCGTTGAAAAAGTTTTATATGAATTTATGAACTTTTACTTTAAATTAGGTCGCCAGTTCGATAAAGAAGGCAACATGAAACAATGGTGGAATAATGCAACCATTACGGCGTTCCGCCAACGCGCACAATGCATCATCGACCAGTATTCACGATACAAAGTAAATGAATTGGGCCTTTATATGAACGGAAAGTTAGTAATTTCAATTATTTCTAGTAATTTATTTGAATTTTAATATGATTATTAATACATGGATCAACTTTTCTATAGATTGACACAAAGTGAAAACATCGCCGACAATGGAGGGCTAAAGCAGGCATTCAGGGTAACATTTTTTTATACTAAAATCGAGTTTATTCCATAGAAAATTGAAATTGAATGAAAAACTTTTCTCCTTTTATTCGAGTGAATTTCCCATCAAGATTGAGTTTTTGTTCAAAGTCCCAAAAAACTTCTGACTCTCCATTTTTTCAAGGAAATATTTAATGAACAGAAAAAATTCTTATTTCACCAGGCGTACAAAAAATGGACAGCCGAGCATGGGTTAGATGATGATTTGCCGGGGCTGGATTTGAATCATGATCAATTGTTTTTCTTGAATTATGCGCAAATTTGGTGTGGATCGATGCGACCGGAAGACGCGCTAAGCAAATTGCGTTCTTCTGTGCATTCGCCGGGTGTGATTCGTGTACTGGGTCCATTGTCAAACTCAAAAGAATTCTCGGATGCGTACAAATGTCCATCCGGTTCACCGATGAATCCAACACACAAATGCAGTGTGTGGTAAACTCACCACCACCACGCTAGCCATTTGCAACCACATATTTTTTTTAACGCATTATCAAACTTAATGAATGAAATCAATGCTCAGCAGCAACAACCTTGTGATCGTTAATCGGTTTATAAATATTTAAAGAAAAAACAACAACAACAACCAAAAATGAAGATTTTCCTCCAATTTTCAAAGCTTTTATCCAACATATTCCATAACACATTTCAAAAATCGATGTATTTAACGGATTTATTCAGGCAGCACGTGCACATTTATCTATATACATATTTTAAAACAAAATCAAACAACAAGTAAATACCAACTCTTTATCTCTCTCTGTACATCAAATCGTTTGTATTTAAACTGAACTCCTTTTTTTCTAAATGTTAAGCTTCTAATCGTAAAACCAAAGAACATCTAAAATAAAATCATTCAATTTATTTAAGAAATATAAATTCTTGTTGATAGCAAAAAATGAGGTGACTCGCAAATTGCGAGCTGCTCATTGTGTCGATGTAAGCAAATTGATTGACATATTTATTGGATCATTCATTTGTACATATAATAAATATCTGTGCGATGCATATTCAAGCACCCAAGGGATCAAGTGATTGTTTTTTACAATTGATGGATGTATGAGCGCATACGAAAGTATATTTTAATGTCCAAAAAAGAAAGAAAATACCCTAAATCTTGCGAGATTTAAGAGAGAGTCGTCCTTTGCCCGGTCGATCCATTTGCATTTTACCCATTTTCAATTGAGATGAAAAATTATGTACTGAAAATTGTTTGAGCTATTCCTATTTGACATTTTATGATTTCTGTTTCGACAATATTCCACAAATTTTACCTAGAATTTCTTTTTCTTTTCCTTTCCTTTTTTGTTCTTTTTCCTTGTATCTTTTTGTTATTGCTAATGAAACCCCGAATTTTGAACGAAAAAGATTCCGTTGCATTAAAATTCTTTAGTGCTATGACTAACAATATCCTTTATGACCGCACATAAAATTTAAGACAACAATTCTTCGCCCAAATAAAAACTATTTTTCTTCTCTTCTCCATTTTCGAATGACTCATTTTATAGCCCAGCGTATCCTTTGTGGCTGTAAAATCGTTGAAATTCTTCATTTCAATCAGCAACTATCTCGAAATGGTTTGCAGCAATTTGTTTTAATGGCATTTTAATGGTTCCTTAAATATTTTCCCCCAATAAAGCCGGCGATGCAACAAAGCACAAAATAGCATCGATATAAATGTATGCAGCAGAGTGTGTACAGGTTTAGCTGAGATTTCAATTTGCGTGGGATTTTATGGATTCGAAAATAGAGTAAGTATTTATATCTGAGAATGACAAACAACCCTTTATTCTGTCGCCAAAACAAAGAACGGATTTTTTTCCCTTGATAAAACAAAACAAAGAGGATATGCAGTAGGGTGGTCCAAACTGATTTATCATGGTAAGGTATATGCTCCCAATAGCTTAAAATTAAATTGGGCTCAAAACAAGCTGATTCCCATTTTCAGATCAAAAAAATGTTAAAACCTAGTGGTCGATAGAGCCGTACTTAAAATGGCTGTTTTTGACCTATTTTTCAACATATATATTGATAGAAAACCCATAGGTTATTCAAATCGAATCTGGTGACATATCATTTTTAGGGTTTTTTGGGACGCTTAACACGAATTCGTTGTCAAAAACTAGCTAATGTTGCTTTTAAAAAAAGCTTTAGTACAAAAACCTTACCATGATAAATCAGTTTGGACCACCCTAATGTGCAGTGTGCATAGGCTAAAACAAAAGCTGGCACGTGCAGCGTGGCTCGCGCCACAAGGAGCATTTAATCAATTAAAAGGGTGAATCCAGCTGATTGTTATCATTAACACACGATCGCCTTTTATTTACTCCAATGCATTCATGCGTTCTGCTCTGCTCACGCACTACGACTTCAGCTTTCCATCCCGTTATATTGCGGTATATTCTAATGTTTTGCATAGCAAAAAACAAACAAACAGCAAATATCGATAATTATCCGGTTGATTCTTGTTTTTAATGAACACACAGAGCAAAGACAAAAGTAAAGGATTTTAATGAGTCTGTTGACAGGTCATGCTGATTTTTTGTCGCATTGTTTTATTCACATCAACATATTTATTCAAATATAATGAGTTTAATGAAAATGGAGGAGCTCTTGAAATAGCTCGACAAATTGTTTTCTATCTATGACATAAAATCGATAAATCTCATTTAAACGGAAAAACGTTTGCTTTATGTATGTTTGTTGTTAAAGAGCTCTCGCTTGTTTCATGTCTTGTGAGTTGCCGGCAAAGAGAATGCTCAAGTGTTTTCTCTCTCTCTCTCTCTCTCTCTCTCTCTCTCTCTCTCTCTCTCTTCTGCTCGTATCAATTGTTTGCTTTTCAAATGACACCCTTCGCTTCGTTTCGTTACAATAACAGTCTGTAATCCTGTTTTGCTATTATCGAATTCATCTAATGCATATTGCATCTCTTTGCAATACCTGAACATAAGCACTTTTTCTCTTGTTTGTGTCGGAATACGTTTTCATTCTCGCTCAGCTTAAAGATGTCGATAAATGCGAATTAAATAACATCCGAGCAACAGAGAGAAAAAAAGAAGCGAAAGAGAAGTGAGTACGAACAACACCATTGTTGACAAAAAAAGACTTAAGGATGTGCCATTGTGTATCAGAATCGCTACTTTCTTTCTACTCGATCTCTACGTAAACTATTCAAGTGCGTAATACTATCATATTTTTTGTGTTCTCCGAAGTTTTTTCGCCGAATTGTAAATACAGATTTCTGCCGACAAAGAAAATACACAACACGCTAAAGCGAAACTCCATTACTTTTTCGTACTCATTTCAAATCCAAATGTTGGAATATATACAATGCAATGTATAAATAAGATTATGTATACAAGAGAGTAAATTTTGCTTAGGTCAGCACTGCTGACTCAGCAGTGACATGATGATTTTTTCCATATAAATTCATTGATTACGAGTATAATCGTAATTGATCATTATCAATGATGGTGACTGTATATTTTGACTTGAATCAAATTTCGAATATTAACATTCTGTTCCAAATTTAACTTGAATATCAGTCAATTAGTCTGATAAAACCTGTAAAACGTACTTAATTGGCTATCCTAGCGTTTTACTTCCATTGAAAAATGCCGATTATTCTGAAGCCAATCGCTCACATTATTGCTGAAAAGTCAATAATCCTATTATTAGAGACCGCTTGAAAAAACATCAAAGAACACTCTTCATTTGTGCTATAGAGATCAATGTAGAAAACATGTACTTCGGTCGGATAGTCATAAGATGAGCATAGAAAAAAAAAGTTAGTGCTTAGTTAATTTCTGTGTATCTCATTTGTTTCGGGGTTGCTCATACCATTGGCAATAAATGAAGTCTGAAAATTGCATTCGTAAAATATATTTGTTCTGAAGCAGAAAACAAAACAATGTTGGCAATCCGAATATTTGAGAAGAGGAATTCATTTTATTACTGTTTTCCAGAATGTGACTACCTGCTGCAAGCGTTTTGTGACTGAAAATTCATAGCTAAAATATGCAATTTAAATGTGCCTAACGTTCAACACACACACACACACACACAAACTCTCCCATTGGCTGAATCGAAGTGAACGAAAATCGCGGCAATCGTGCATTATTTGAATGTTGGACAAATTAATAATCTCATTGTTTGTGGTTTCACGTGCACCACTCATATCGAAATAGAGTCTACAGTTTGGCCGATGTGAGAGATACTTATATTATCAACAACAAAAGCCACCGTCGAGCATTCAGCGATGAATATTTCCACTTAATTTGGCGAACGACCCGTTACGGTCAACGTTATTTCGTTTTTTTTTTCATCTCTCATCACTCTCTCACTCTTTCCCCATAAATAAACATATACATAAACAATCATATCAGTTTACAGAAATCGAAGAGAGAAATGTGTGTGTATGTGCCATGATTTGCTGGTAGAAAAATTTGTTTACAAGTTCGTTCCACTCACACGTTTGTAATTTGCTTGTTTTAACAGCAACAGCAGCAGCAACAACAACACCAACATAGAGAGTCAATCCGTGCCATGTGCTCCGGCAACAACTAACTGTTGTCGTTTCGATTCGATGACGCAGCGAGAGAATGCAAGAGAGAAAAACGCGCGCGCGACAGCGGTCACCAAACAGAAGTGATTCGAATTGCGTTACGTGAAGAAGTATATTTCGGTCATACAAACACAATCAGTTGAAAATTGAATAAAACATTGGATTGCCTTAAATTACGGCATAGTGCGGCACAATCAAAGTGAAAGTACAAACGAAAAAAAAACCGAAGGGAAAAAAATGTCGACCGAAATATACAATATGATTGTGAATTGGCCGGCGATTGCATCGGAAATGCAGCAGCAAGTATCAAATTTGGATGCACTGCTGGATTTTGTCGTCGAACATGTGGGTGAAGCTGACGTTATATATCGCTTCAAAGATGTGGCCAGCATTTTGAGTTGGCTCTGTCCCGAAGAACCGTTATGGAATCACATCGTTGCCAGCGAACAATATCACGTCGATGCCAGCGATCAGTGTTACATCGATTCCAGCCAATATCAACCATGCAACGATACAACAATTGCACATGTGCTCAAACCCGGCACCAAAATCACCATTCCCAAACCAAGTGCCAGTGACATCAAATTCCAGGACATGGAAAGTGTGCAAGCGTACCTCAGTCAAGGTCCCGCCTATCAGTCAACTGATGATTCGGAAGAGGTGGACGTGACAACATTTGATTATACACCGATATGGAATTCAATTGGGAATCAATATCAAATCATTGAAGCACCACCGCCAACGCCACCATCGAAAAGTCGAAAGAATACCAAAATTCTCACCGAAAAGCAATCGAACACGGTCAATATCAACGCTACTGCGCTGAAGAAAGTAGCAATGAAAGCCGATGGTCTCGTTGAATCAACGTACAAATGCACCGAATGCGACAAAAAGTACAAACAAAAAAGCAGCTTGCTACGACACAGCAAATCACATTTACCCAAAGAGCCCGGCGCCGAGCTCGACAATAAACCAACAAACAAACGCACCAATAAAAAGACCATGAATGGAACAACAACGCATGCAATCCTCCCGCTAAACACTGCCGAACCCATTTCCACGTAAAACAACCACCATTCGAACAAACACATCGATTACCGGGGAATTAAGAGAGAAAGTGAAACACTCAAAAGGCTGATACGCAAAATAACAATTGCCAAAACAAAAAAAAGTATTATTAAAATGTAGTATAAAATAAGAACAAAAAAAAGTATGAATTAGAACAGAATTTAAGGAAAAAACAGAAATCAAAATAGTCATAGTGAATATACGGTTTATCGATGGCCACATGTAAATAGCACAACAAAAAATGAATAATCGTTAAATGTGATTTTTTTTTGTACATAAACAACGAGAATAAGATATTGAATAAATACAAACAAAAAATTGTGAAGTTGAACGAAATAAATCGTCTGGTTTGTTTTTTTCCTGGTTTGGATCAAGTTTCTACATTTCAGTCCCGTTAGACACTATCTCCTGTTGAATTGAAAGCGATTCATTCATTTTTTTGTTTGATATTAAAAGGGTAACAAAATATTTGGATCATTGTTGAATTCCTCTTTCGAGTGGTTTCGATGCGAAATTAAACGAAAAAAAAACGGCTCGGCCTCGTGGATCAAAGGTAAGTGATGCAACATTTGCAAATGCTACGTAAATTTGAATAACGGACCCCAGTCTCGAACGGTATGCATAAATCTATTCAAGTGTGTTTCTATGCCTACGTTGCTCTTTCTCTCTTCCCTGATTTTCCACACTCTCTCTCTCCTCTTTTTCTTTCGGTGCGCACATCGATCGAGTGGCGATGAAGTGTGAGCATGAGCATGTATATCATATTTTTTGTGTCGATTGTCAATTGTCGATTTTTAGTATCGCTTATGACCTACCGTTTTGAAAATCAATGCGAGACTGTAGCAAAGCCGGGCGAAAATAGGAGAAAAAAACCGACGAACGAAACAAAAAGAATGTCATTCAATAAAATTGACATTTCAAGTTGAAATAAAAACGTAAACAAAACAGCAGTTGCCTTCGTCTGTTCCGTGTTCAATGATTCTATAGCCGTGTTGTTGTTGTTTTTTTCCCGGCAGTTGTGTCTTTATTTGCTCCATTGTTTGTGCCCGTTGTGCAAGCCCATTCCATTTATTCGATTGCATTCGATGCAATTCGTCAATATATCACCGTCACCGGTGAAGATACTTTTATTTTGCACACTGAAGAGGGTCAACATTCAAATGGAATTGAAGCGGTAAATATCGGGATTAGAATTACGTTGGCCCGTTTTTACACCATAAACACAAATCTCAGTAGGCCCAAATGAATCGAACGCATTGTTTACGTCGTGTGAGTGCAAGTGAGACAGAGTGAATGCCTTGAACTGTGCAGAGCAGTTGTTTGTTTTCGATACTTCAGAAACATATCAATTTTAGCGGATGATTGGATGTAATTTGACGTGCAAATTTGCATTACGATATACTTTGACGGAAGCTCGAACACGTGTGATTCTTGTTGATGTGAGAGGCAAACTGGAAAAATTCTCGTTTTTTGCGAGAAAAAAAAAATCACATAGTTTTTTTTAGAGAAAAAGAAATCGAATGGAATTCAAGAGAGAAAAAATGATGAATCTTTTGTCGGCGTCGATCATCTAAACATTTCCATTGAAATCAAATACCTTTCGGCAATTCGATAGTTGATTGATCGTCGCATTATGTGAACTTTTTGGACCTTTTCTTCCTTTGAGAAAGAGAGATAGGGAGAGAGAGAAATATAGAGAGGAAAAGACAGTGAAACGGTTAGATCGCAATAGAGTGAGGTCTTCTCTCTGCAGCAGTAGCAAAAACTCCAAAATTAAATGACTGTTCGTTAGAATTTCCACTGAACTGGCGTCAATTAAACGCGTCTCGACAGAAGCGATAAACAAACAGTCCAGTCACGCCACACAGTGTCTACTTGGTCTGTGAAATGCTGACTCAGTGCCATGCATTGATGCTTAGTTTTTTTTTAAATATGCTATGCCAATGCATTGTGCCAAAATAAACCCGGACAGATTTAAGTAAAAAGCAATTTGACACTAATCCTCGAATCAACAACAGTTTTATTACACAATCATTTGCCGTTCCCACATTCGAAAGCAGAAATCGAAGACTATGTTTATTCTAAGCCTCGGAACACACAATGTGGCAATTTCCTAATTTTATTTTGTGTATTTATTCATGTCATTATCGCCAGTGTGGCGATACACAAATAATGCAGTGCAAACATGTGACGACAAGTTCATATCCAGCCAAACCGTTTGGTTTTACTAGGATTTCTACGGCTGATTCGGGCCAGATTGATTGTGGTTACATTAAATTTCAATTAAAATTATCCTGTATGTTCGTTGAACTTTGTTCCGATTCCGATTGCACTTTCTATGCTAATAAATCTGAAGGAAGGTTTTGATACGAATAAATCCACGCACAAATCGGCTTCGTAATTAATGGAAACATTCAAATGGGAGGGAGACAGCATATACCACTTTTTTTTACTACTGCTTAAACGAATGTGCAGGCATATCGAATTAATTTATTCATTTACATATAGCATAAACGTCATGCTAACACTGAACTTCATGCTAATCGTCCATACTACGGTAAAATGAAAAACAATTGTTGTTCACTCACCCCCTTTTTTCTGCATCGCCTCCGAATGAAAAGAATTTAAAACATTTAAATATCGCTTTAACAGAGAATGCACGGAATTTCTTATGATATTTTATTCGTTTATTGTTTTTTGGGGCTGCATTTTTCTATAAATTAAATAATTTGCTTTTTGAAAAACCACTCTAAAAATAATTCGGAATCACAAAATTTGGGCAACCGGGAAATAACCGCATTCTTTCTTTATCAATATTTATGCTAACTGTTTGAACATTCAAAAAAATATTCTGAAAATGCCTTTTAATAAAGAGAAGGAAAAAAACTATTTGTCGAATAATGCCAAGCATCAACAGCGCCGAGAGTGCACTTGTTTCGGGCGATGAGATGTTCAGCATAATTTGCATTTCACGCAACATTTTTCCTTCACTTAACCATTTTACGGCTATAGTTTTTTTTCTGTTGTAGTAGCGTCATTTTAAACAGAATTTAATTGATGTCGTCATGTGCAGCATGAAAAAAATGCGAAATAAAAAGAAGGCATGAAGAAATTAGTAACACATGTTCAACAGAAAAATGCTATAATAAATAATAAACGGCATTTTTTTTTGTTCACTCTCTCAAAACGCTTTATGCACTTGCATTCCATTTGAATGGCCGTACTATCAAAGTGAACTAGTTGCAGTAAACTTGTTTTGGCTCGCCGGAATTGTTGTTAATGAAGAGTGAACAGGAATCGTTTTGTTTTAACACCGTTGTGTTCGTGTGGCTGGCTTGTCCAATTAATCATTTGTGCGTCACTTTCTTTAGAGCGAATGAGTCACAGAGTAAAAACCCGTCAACACCATAATAGCACCATTTTCACGGTATCGTTGCGCTCTTCAAAATTGAGGGTGTTCTTTGTGAAAGAAAAAGAATGCTTCACTCACAATGGCTTGATTTATATGAACGTTTGTGTCGACGAAAGAAAAATATGTCACAATTATGGAATCATTTGGAAATTGAATTGAAAACAACGCCGGCTCGGAGGTGTTTGTTGACACTTTCGTGCTTTGTGAGGCTTTTTATTAGTTTCTAATTTAATCATTATTTTCAAACAAATATAATTGTAGACTCAAAGTTACGTGCAATGAAATCATACTCCATAATAATGTTGAGGCCCTTAGGCGAAATGATCGAAAATAAATGGTTTCATGCAATTCTTACTTTCATGAGTAAGTTTAGTCAAATTACAAGAAATACGATTCCATCAGTTTCGTGCAGGATATTTAGCGTGAATTCGATTGATGGGTTGTCGTATATTTATCATTCGGCTACCAAAACAACACCATTGTTAACGTACTGTTATTTCGATATTTATGCGAAACACAATGCGCTCGTATTTCATCTGGGATAAAATGTTTTATGGAACATGGCATGGCGCTCAACTGACAAATGGATTTGCAATTTTGAGTGTTTATTCAACAACACTCTGCTTAGCAATAATGCGACATCTTCCATATGCTAACAAGATGTCAACTGTGGTCATTTGGAAATTATTTATCTCCAAGCGACAGCATTGTTCTGCACTGGAAATTACAATATTTTCTTCGGAAAATTACGCATTCTCCCATCGATTTTAGAACTTTAAAATGAGTTTCTAACCGATTATTCATACTGTTGCAAAATGCATGCCACGTTCGTAGTACTTGTTTAATGCAAATTCATCGTACTTGAAGTTTCAATGCACAACAAATGGATATTCCATTCAATGAGGTTTCTTGAGAAATTACAACTTTTTCGCTTGTGGGACTTGGTTCGCAGTCATGCCACGGCTTATTAATACTCGAAACATGAGTTACAGCATAAATTCTTAAGCGATAATTTGCAAAGTGTGTCAGCTATACATTCGAACAATGTCTGAATATTCCAGTAGATTCAACCGCAAAATTATCGACAATGCGCCAATGGTGTGTCATCATCAGAGGCTCGTTATTCTTCATGAAATTGGTTATTATTCATTCATATTCTTGGTTAATATCCAATTTACTTTTCAGCGTAAAACTTTTCACCATAATTATTATTTTACTAAGACTTGAAAAAGTAGATTTTTCCAAATGTCGAAACATATGCTGTGTTATTGTCGACCGCGACATAACAATCAATATTCCGTACGATGGCTCTAACAAAGTTTTGAAGAAACGGCACAAGTTTTTGTAAACAATACCCGCATTTACAAACTGATTTCAAACTGTAAAACTTTGGCCATGTTGCAATATTGACATGAAATATCCTTGAACCATCCAACGTAACATGGTTGTTTACATAACTCTTGTTTTATGCGTTTTCTGACTGGCGCATTGTAGCTCGATTTTGTTGGTGGCATTTACTCAATACGTTTCCTTGTCTGTGAATTTCTCGAAAATACAGTTCAACAACAACAACAACAACAACAAATAACTTAATATCTAATGTAATCCATAAAACTATTCATTTTTATTGGTCATATGCACTTCAAAGTGTGCCGCTCGCACACACGCATCGATGATTTCCCTTGTAAAATGAGTCAATCCGACATATTTATAAACATGGAAAAAAAAAAACAATAAAAATTCACATAATTTTTTTCCTATCTCTCTGTTTGGAAATTGAATTCTGGCCGCCTGAGCAGCGGTACCAACTTCCGTCATCTCGATGCTGAAATGAAACATTCTTTATCTTTTTCTTGCAGATTAAATATTTATCTGTTGTTTGTGATCTCTTAGTCAGTGGAAGCATTTTCAAATAAAATTAGACATAGAATCGTAAAAATAGCCTCCATAAACGGTGTAAGTACACGATTTACAGGAATTATTTGTGGAAATCTGCACCCATGGCCATACAAAATATGAAGATGGTTTATTATTTATTTATTGTATGTATTAATCTAATGCGAAAATATACCTAGCAATATATTTATAGCTCGTGGCAAAACCATTTTCAAAATTATTCTCATAATCCATGATAGAAAAGTTCGCTGGCATCAAATTTACCTTGAAAACTTTAAGTTTTTCATGTAGACTGTAATCATCTTGTTTTCACTTTGAAAACGACAGAGGAAAAAAGGAAAAACTGTCGCTTGACATATAGGCAAATGAAGGCGATAAATCTTTTTCATTCTCTCTCTCTCTCTCTCTCTCTCTCTCTCTCTCTCTCTCTCTCTCTCT